GCCGCCACGTCAAAGGCGTAGCAGCCCCAGTTCATCATGGCAAAGTAAATACAAAATCGCGTCTTTGATGCATCAATGTGTCCGGCGAAGGTCAAACCAAACAAAAGGTGGCTCAGAGAAGTTATTGCCGTAGCTATTCCAATGACAATCTTCGGTCCAAAAAAGTCATACATGGCTCCAAACGGAAAGACAAACAAGCCAAAGGCCGTACCTGCTGCAAAAATGTCTACCATTGTGCGTACGTCATACATGTATACCTTCTCCATGTACAGGGCAAAGAGCGCATGAAGCCCCTGCGTGGAGGAACTGATAAAAAGAAGCATTCCAATAAACATCACTCGAAAACGCATAAAGTCACTGATCTTTTTGGGATCAATCAGAAGAATGTTGGACGCATTGTGACCACTACCCTCTGAATTTTCCCGTGTCCTCTCCGACGCAAAATCGGCGATCTCCTGTTGTTGTGCTAATGGATCCTCAAGCACCGATGCAGGCGAACGCTGCGCAGAGAAAACCACTCGCGAGCCAATTCTCTGATTGGAAGGTAAATCCCCCATGCGTTACCACCGTATATGTTGCTGTCAATAAATGATATAACAAATGCCACACCTCCTTTCTTCCTCTCCTCTCTTTGTTTTGTGACGAATTCCGTGTGTATTCTTTTTCTCCACCTCGTCCTTTTCCTCGGCTTCTTGTCGTGTTGTTTCCCTTCTCGGCTTTGAAGCTCTTGTTGTTGTTGGCCCCCCTTTCCTTCGTTTATTTCCTTCTTTTGCTTTCTTATTCCCTTATTTGCAGATCACAAACAACCCAAAGACTGAAGTAAACACAAAGTTGAAGTGGTGACCCCAATCATATTCGCCGCACTCACACACACACACACACACACGCATACGCATAGATCATTTCAAAAAATAAAAATAAAAGAACACGTTTTCCTTCTCACTGCTGCCGACGGTCTCCTTCATTCCCCCCTTCGGTTTTCCCTCACGATTATTTTATTCAAAAATTTATTCGTCGCCAATGGACCCCGTAGAGCCCCTTAACTTCACACACACACAAACATATATATTTCTATCCATTTATATATGTGCTCTCCCCTTGTCTTTCGTGTCGTTCCTTCCCTTTGTCAGTTCTCTCCCCTCCCGCGAAATGCCAGGCGGGAAGCAGCCACAACAAGACGTTAACTCTTCACTCAGGGCAAATTCACCGTGTCACCCTCCACACGCAACTTCCCATTTTGAATTGCCGTCTCAATGGCGTGCCGCACATGTTTTGCGATGCGGGTGTTGTACCTCTCGACCAGCTTCTTTGCAAGCGCCCGCACGGTGAGCGGTGTCTCTCCGGCTTCCTCCATGATCCAACGGGTCACCTCCGCCACCTCCTCGTCGGTGCCCAGCACGAAGCTTGGCACAATGCAGTCCGCCGCCGTCACTGCCCGCGGCAACTCGAGCAACTCCTCATGTTTTTGGCGCTTCAAGCCGCTATTCGCTTCCATATTTTTGTTGGACGGTGACGTCGTTTTCGCCCGCTTTTGTGAAGACCCGTTGAGACTCCCGTTACGTCCCTTGTTTTTCTCCGTCACTGCCTTCTTCTTCCCCCCCGTTACCCACGCATCATCGTCGGAGTCGGAGTCGCTGCTCAAATTCATGGGCGGGCGGGGTGGACGCAGCGGCTGCCGTTTGTTGTTGTCGTTCCCATCGCCGTCGCTGTCGTCCGGACCATCGACGCACCTCCGCGCTGCTGCCGCCGGCGCTCTGTTTTGTCGCCACCTCCCCTGGTACTTCTCCGTCTCGGTGATGCATGACGTGTGTTGCTTGATCCTCTGCAGGTCAAACACCTCCATGCAGTCAACGCACGTGAAAGAGGCACCACCGCACTGCGCGGCGTGGCCATTGACCTTCGGCTTCTTCACCACGTCGTGGCAGTAGTTGCAGGTGAAGGAAACCATCCGCCACGCCGGTACTCCCACCCCCCAACAGACAGACAGACGGACAGAGAAAGAAAGAAAAAAGGAAAGAAAGAAAAAGAGACACCCACGCAAGATTACAGGCCACAAACCAAACATGTGCGCTTCACATATGAACCGCCTCTCCCAAAACACATACGAGCGCACACAAACACACACAAAAACACAAATACACCAAAAAAAATTCCGAACAAGCTGACAACAACAACAAAAAAAAAAATTTAGGCAGAAGTAAGGAATGATCGGCACGAGCAAAACACACACAGACAGAAAAAAAAAAAAAAAAAGGCACTGAAATAGACGCATGAGGTACCAAGCACAAAATGCCCCACTCATCCCTCGCAACAAATATAACCATGGGCATTATCGTGATGGTTATCACAAGAAGAAACATTCCCAGTCAAAAAAAAAGAAAAAAAAACGATCGAAACAAAAATAATAATAATAATAATAATAATAATAATAATAATAATAATAATAATAATAATAATAATAATAACCAAAAGAATAGACCCAATGAAAAAGACTTTTTTTTTTTTTTTGTTTTTCTTTTTCTTTTTCTTTTTCTTTTTCTGATCGACTCATCTCTTCTTTAAACTGCCCGATTCCCCTCCTTGTGTCTTCTTTGACGCGTGTCGGGAAGCATTGGGGTAAGTGCATATAAGCGAAGACAAAATAAAAAGAGGGGCAAAAGAAAAAAAAAAAAAAAAAAAAAAAAAAACTGGCGTGTGAACTCTTTCGTATTAGACGGGGGAGAGACACACTGCGCGGGGGAAAGGGAAAAAAGAAAAAAGAAAAATAAATAAAATAAAAGCATCGGAAACAAATAAAAAAGCAACCAAAAGAAAAATAATAATAATAATAAAAATATACGTAAATAATAAAACTCTGCTGATGCCGCCAGTATCCCAGGGCCCCGCTGGTCGTAATTAAATAAGCCACCCGCCCTCACTTTCGTTTTTTTATTTCCTTCTTTCTTTTTTGATTTTTTTGATTTTTCTCCTCCCGTCGTTGCGCGGTGCGTCCTTTCCGGCCTGCCCGGGCAAACCACCACTTTGCTGTGGCCCCAGCGGCGGCCCGAGCGAAAAGGGGGGAGGAATCCGACACCCCCGCCACAGCCGCCACCCAAAAAATAAAATAAAATAAAAAAGAAAAATAAAGAGGCAGCGGCCACTCGGTAGACGGCGGCAGCAGCACGGCGTTTTCCCGCTCCGCCTTCTTTTTCTCCCCCTTCGCCGCGGCGGGTGAAAAGACAAGAACGACGCATGCACGGACACCGGCGGGAATATATTCACATTTGCACATGCGGGCCTAATGGGGCCCCAGAACAACACAACAGTAAACCACAAAAGAAAACAAACAACAAACAAACAAAAAAAATGTAAATGGCATTCAAAACCGAGTATTGACATGATCACTCACAATCAAACCGTGCGCCAAAACACGAGGAGGCAAAGAAAGAAAGGGGAAAATCAAACAAATAAACAAAAAAAAAAAAAAATAAAATAAATTTCTACTAAATAAAAAATAAAAATCCCCCGGCGCGCACGCACACACGCGCAGAAGATAGACATGTCTTTTTCTTTTTTCTTCTTCTTCCTCGTCTGTTTTATTTCCCTTTTTTTTCTCTCTCTTTTTAGATTCCCCCTTTTCATGGGGGTCCACCGCCACCCACCGACACGACTGCTTGCCTGTAAACAAATGAAACACTCTCCTCCATCCCACTTCCCCTCCTCAACCACCACGACTTACAGCAACGACTTCGGCCCCTACATATTTACATCACAATTTTTTTAATGATAATAAAAAATAAAAAAAAACAATTTTTTTTTTTTTCCTCCTTACCTGCATTTTTATTTGGGTCTTCCATCTCTTTTGTGGCCAACCCCTCCTTCCTTTTTTTTTTTTTTTTGCGTTATTTTTTTTGGCTTCGCTACTTTTTTTTTTCTTCTTTTTTTTTTTTTTTTTTCTTCTTTTTTCTGTTGTCTTTTTATTCTTTGCTCGTTGTCGTCTGCCGGGGAGCCCCATGCAACGTTGGGAAGAGTTGGGGCGGGGGCGGGGGGAAGGGGGGAAAGGGGCTGCA